ATATATCTATATATATGTATATATATATATATATATATATATATTTGGTATATAAATGTATAGAGACTCCAGATGCTTGCTTCTCTAAAAATTTAATTGACTTGTCTTACAGGTCTCTACCATACTCATCGGTTACTTTATGATTCTGTATATCTATTGGACACCGTCAAATTCGGCTCATTTTCGTTACATGTCCTTCATGATATGGTTCATTATCAGCATGTATCTATCGAGTATAGCGGGTTCTTACCAGGTCTTGGTCTTCGCTGCTCTACAAATTCTATGCATAATAGGATTTATTTATGAAGTGATACTCGTTATGGATGGTCATGAACTGAATGGTAGACATTTGACATTCTCGCAAGCAGCCCGTTTTGCTTTAACAAACGAGTTATTGCCGAGCCAGCAAGAAGATAAAACAACTTCACTCGAGGACGAGCAGACAAAGAACTGTATTCCGGAAGGCGAAAGCGTGGATACACCGATTTGCTCTCAAGAAGAAGCAAGAAGATCGGCATCTGCTGATGCAACGGGTATCGAGAGAATACGTAGCACGTCGAGACGTGGAGTAAAGTCATTATCTTTGGATACGGATGCTGGTTTATCCGCCGTAATGGATGTGACAACATGTAGACCTGCGTATAACGTACGTTATATAACTCGTGGGACATTACGCGACCGTTATCTGCTCGGCAAAATAAGAGCCGAATTACGAACGTCTCTAGATATGCAAGATGATGAGGTTGATACTGACAAATACATGTATGGGGCACTATATGCATGTGCTGGCATGCTTCTCTGGAAACACAGATGGATCGCACACATTCTGGTGATCCCATTGGTATATTATATCGTCAAGAAGTTAGGTAGCTATTTTGGTTTTTGGAAAATGATACTCGGGCATTGCAACTCGATGATAGAAATGCTCATATCGTGGTGCATGGATCGACATCAAGCACTCGTACCCTCCAATATCAGAGGTCTCTATAAAATAAGCGTTATCGTGGATGAGAAACTAAGAAATATTCTGAAAAACTCCGTCAATGCGGTAGCGACTACATCTGTAATACTTGGCTTGATTGTTTTCGCTACTTGCGCATCTATCTTTATTATGATACAGGTTTGTGCGACAAACATTCGCGTATTCTTTTATACACTATCATACAATTGTATGTACAATCGTGGATTGGAGAACGGTTGCAGTACTTTTTTTTCGATGAATTTTGAAATTCAGTCTTGCTCGTAGAGTAATTGAACGTAAATGGCTAGATCTATAAATGAGAACCAATCGCTCGATGAACAGGCCGGATTCCAAAATCCATTGAAAGAGAAGTTGCAATCATTTCGTCCATTACTGTACAACAGCCCAATAGACGAGAAATGAATTAAAATGAATTAAAATAGATTCAGATTTTTAAAAATATATATGTATACTCATTCACGAACGTTAATAAATGAATCCTTTTCAATCCGAATGTATTTTTATTCATTTATACGAATTGGATGAAGCACATTTCTATGCCTTTCAATCTAAAAATGATATCAGCTTGTCTGTGTCTCGTGAATACTTCTCAATTCAAAATTTTGAATAGAAAAATTTTTCAATCCAATTGAATAAAAAAGTTTTTGTTATTTAAAATATTCATTTGGATAGATAAAATTTCCATCCATATTAATCCATTCTCGTTTACTGAAAAGATTCTATCTAATTTCTCTATCTAGATCTATGCAGAAGGCTTGCATCTTGTTCAAGTAACAGGTGAAATATTGAATTCCACTTTGATGAGCAATCCTGATATCGATTGGGTTCCAGAAAAGTGGGAAGAGTCCGTTAACAGTGTTTTAGATAACGTTTACACATATGGACGAAGTGCTATATCGGATGGCGTAAGATTTACCTTGTTTACTTTTCCACTTTGCATGTGTGCGAACGCTAAGTTTGCTTATCAAGCTTGCTTAATTCAGATTCGGGGTCTCGTAAAAGATCTCGAACCGACGAAAGCGGAACAAATGGAGAAGAAAGTCTTGGAGCTCTGGGATCGTCTTTATCAAGCATGGATGATGTCAAATATGGATCCGAATCTCGTGGGTCCTACCGTAGATGCCATGTCTGCGTATTCCGCTTGGGAAAACTTCAAAGATAGCGTTGGAAAAACACCTATACGTAAATACTTTGTCTAAAGAAATTTACGAAATTTAGCATTATTAAATTACGTTTTTTACTTGTTTTTTTCCAGATAGATGATCTCCATTCCATTATGTTACTTTTATTAATATAATAAAAATCGCTTTGCATATAATACATAAGAACTCTATCGCTTTTTCTTTCAGATTTGTTCAATATGACTAGTATACAGAATTTTGCCAAAGAAAATATTGGCATTCTTACATCGGTGTTTGACTCTGTTTGGAGCATTGTTAAAGGCAATATGTCTGTAATACTAACGGTTTTTACGGAATTGTTTTATATTGTACTCATGAGTGGATCAGCCGTACTTAATTTTGTACTCAGCACGGTATGCAACATGTTTTCTTGCAAAATTTTATAGAAAAGAAAAGGCATGAGATATAATAATTTGTTATTTCAGGTTGTATTCTTTACAACTTTATTTTATTTGCTCAGTTCCAGCGATAAAACTTATAAACCCATCGAACTGACAACAATGTTTAGTCCTATTAGTTGTCACAGGTAATTATTCATAATCTGAAAATTGATTTATGATTTCTCTTTGTAGTGTAATATTTTAAATTTTATAAAAATGTTTAGTTTTAATTAGCCCTGGGGTGCTATTCTGTACACGTCTACCGAAGACCTGTACAAAATAACACATCTGGGCAAAATACATGTAGTTTGTATTTGTAAAATACAAAATACTGTTATTCTTAGCAACTATCCTAAACTACATTAATAATGCAGCTCTTACTACTTAGAATATTTATTAGAGTAATTATTATTACTAAGATTGACAGTATTTTGTATTCTAATATAAATACAAAATATATGTACAGGGCCCAGCCCTGTTTTTACCAAGCACATTACATGTAGAAAGGTACATTCTACGTATTGATATGATCTTCATATAATGTGATTGTGTTAATACACTCTAATCTACTGGGACGTTACTATCATAAAATGTATGATAGATACTGCACGAAGAAAACTTTCAAAATAACATCGATTCTGTCTAGATTTGCTATGTCATTACAAGAAGCAGTGATTGGGGTATTCGCGGCCACTTTTAAACTCGCCTCCTTCTTCGGCATGTGGACATGGTTCATACATAATTTGTTCCAAGTGAAAATTGTCTATTTACCATCGGCTCTTGCAACTATGTTAGGAGCAGTTCCTTTCTTGGATGCGTACTTTGCCTGCATTCCGGCTACCATAGAACTTTGGTTCACTCGTGGATCAATGATCGCTATCTCATTTTTTCTCTTTCATTTCCTCCCGTGTAACATAGTAGTGACGGAATTTTATAAAGAGATTAAAGGGTAAAATTGTGCTTTGTAGTACATGAATATATCTTCAACTATGCATTGTTTTTACATACATTCCGTTTATTTCAGTGGTGGACATCCTTATCTGACAGGTTTATCGATAGCGGGTGGAATCTTTTGTTTAGGTGTAGAAGGAGCAATTTTTGGCCCTTTGCTCTTGTGTTGTATCATGGTTGTCATCAATTTAAGTCGACGTTACCTACACTCACCTGAGGAGGAGGAGGAGGAGGTCGTACTACCGGCATATTCTAACCATGAAAGAACATCATAATATAAGTCAAAATAACATTGCGATTTTAACAAAAATTAATATCTCTGCTTAACAGTATCGCAAGCTACGGGCTTGCTTTCAACTTTTATTAAAGATTGAGATCTGTATTCACATCGTATTTTTCTACAATAAATGCACATTTATTTCTGACAGTCTACAATATATGTAACATAAACTATCTATACTGAAGAAAATCATGTCACAAAGTTACATAATGAAATCATGTAATTAAAATATGTAAATCACGTAATGAATTGTTTTAAATCAGTGCGTAATTTTTTTAAATCACGTAATTTGAAAAATCACACGGTGATATGTTTTTTTTCTTCTATTTCTATCATTTAATTATTTAAAATTAAATTAATTTCGATAACTAAAATCATATGATACATGAAATTATTTCTAATATCATGTAATTTTTTAAATGATGGTATTTTAAAAAATCACGTACTGATTTGGAACAATTCATGGTGTGCTTTATTTATTTTAATTACATGATATCGTTATGTAACTTTGTGATGTGATTTTTTTCGATAGAGATGTGCATGTTTGTCGATAAAAGTAAGATGTGAATACGGATCTAAGAGTTTGATATAAATATTTCATGAAAGTGAGTATTGTATGATGACTGGACTAAACATACAGCGCAAACATAGAAAATTGTGCTTTATATGTATTTTTATGTGATAAGAAAACTAACCCAGGAGTCTCAGCTTACGCTTATTAGGATTACAGATATTTATATTACACGAATAATTAAAATAAGTTATTTACATTATGATACTTTCTATTAAGAACAATTTGATGATATAAAGTACAATTAAATAAAGAAGTTTTTATTTATTGAAATAAAAAGTTGATATGTATTTCATAAAACTGTACATACAATTGTTACAGTAATTCTCAACCAAATGCCTCATGTATATAATGCATGATACAAGATAACTTTATGCACGACTAATTTTAATTTGTTCTTTTAAGAAAATAGTCACTATAAAAATTACCATATGCATAGTAAATGTCTGATATATGTGTGAGTTTTATATTGCTCTGCAATAATTCAACCGTTGTTGCTTCATATGCATGAAAAATGATTTTCTTCCTTTTTGCAAACATATGAAAGCCATTTTCCGAAAAACGACCTCGTATATTACCTATTTCTAACCACACAAAAAGTGCTATTTTATCTGTCGATAATACAATTTTAAAATTTGCATAATTGGAAAGTTTTCCAGATAAATGATTTTCTTCGATCTTCATCTAAAACAAAAACAATTGCGTGTCAATATTTTTCAGACAGTATTTATTGTACAATGTTTATAATATATCGAATTTTGTACGCGACACCAATTAATCCACTTACAGTAACGTTGGCTACTGGTATATTTGCGTTTTTTAACGCATCAGGATATATATAATTAATTGGCGCAATTAAGAATCCAGATTTATCCGTAAAAGATAAAGTGGCGATGCAAGATCTTTTGGCGGATTTCAATGTTCCACAACCCACTTGAACCAGGAATCTGTCTAACCAAAAGGATGTAACTTTCGTAGCTTTATTAGATTCCTGAAAAAAAAATCAGTATAGCTATACGGATATTTATATACAAATTATAGATATCAACTCTAATACTCTATGTAACTATATATATAGTTTTACACGCACACACACATATACTGACTATTACGATATTATTGAAGAATAATACGGATATAGGTTTCATAGATTCCCATTTGTAAACATGAAGTTTTACTGTACAATTTGTTAAAGTATACAATCGATCAGACACTATATATATCGAGAGTTCATTGGAAACGGACAAATGCGATGTAACAATAATAGGCGCGAAAAAATCCTTGGCATAATAGTGAAGCATTTTCCAACGACCTTCATTATCTGTAAATATAATACGGAGAAGATTTTTGTAATATGCAAAAAATAGAAGGATATCTTAAATTAGAACGATCAATATAGTACTTTCATATTAAATAAAAGGAAGAAAATGTTATAGAAGCAAGATTCATATTCTTCATATACATTTATCATTTTAAGAGCTTTGAAAAAACTTTTATATCTACAAATTTTAACAATCAAGACTTTTAGTTCTAATTCCATGTCTTTGATTACCTATAGAAGACCATGAAGGAGCTTGCCAGACATCGTTCAATTGCCAATAGAGAGCTCCCATTGTCATACCCTCACCTATGGAATTCACTTCAGATTTGGCTTGTCTGTACATTTCTGTTTGTATTCTTATAGAGACAGCTTGATTGATCTGACTGAGATATATATAACTTGCAAAATCTCGGATGCTGTCGTTACTTCGCGGTACAGCAAAGTTGTGCAAGATCAGCTGCAGCATATATTGATTGCCGAGTGGCTGATGTTGTCTATGCTTCACGAAGTCGCTGTCAATATGAAGATCTTTTGTGCTTTCTATAGCAGTTGCTATCGTGTAAATCGATGGCCAAGATTGAAATCCATATTCGGAGCAAAATCTTGTCCGAGGATACTGAGTGATGTCCCAACTATTTCTAATGTAATTATAATAGTGGACTGAAAACATTCAACTTAATGTTAATATACTCGATATTCAATTAATCTCATTTTAAAGGATCAAGAAAAACTTATCTGTGTGTATATATATATATATATATATATTACCGTCACCGTAGAGGTTTAAATAAGGATTTACTCCAGTATAATTGTATGTTTCTTCATATGCCCCGTTGCCCGGACTAGACACGACAAATGGTCTTGTCAGATCTAGTTTCTTCACTTCTGTCTTCAATAGATTCACATAAAGTTTCACATAATCCTCTCTATACACATGAGCAGAACCGGTACCATACCAATTACCATAAAGCGCCGCTTCGTTTTCGTTATTGCCAGCCCAAAGAACGATACTTGGATGATTTTTCAAACGTATTACGTTTTGTAATATTTCTTCTTTTACGCTCTTTAAGAATGAATAACTTATAGGATACATAGCGCACGCAAACATGAAATCTTGCCAAATCATGATCCCATATTCGTCAGCCAAGTCGTAAAATAATTTCGACTCATAAAGACCACCGCCCCATACTCTTAGCATATTCATATGCGTCTCTTTGACAGATAACAACAAGTCTCTGATGGTGTCTTCTTTTGCGCCTAACTCAGGGAAGATACTGGCTGGAATAAAGTTGCTGCCTTTAGCGAATATCGGTATATCGTTTATGCGAAAATAGAAGCTCAGCCCTTTTTTCAAAGATTTTTCCACGAGCTGCACCGTTCTGAAGCCTATACGGATCCGTTTGAATAATACGTCATTCGCCGTTGCCACAGTAGTAGTTAAATAGTACAAATGTTGCTTGCCATAACCATTCGGCCACCAATTCTCAACGGCATCCTGGGCAGAGAGTAAAACATTAGGCCATTAGAATTAATAAAATTACAATTTTATTTTTGTTTGTATGCACTTGCAGATATCAAAATAAAAACTTAAAAAACCAAAAATGTGAAAAAGAAATTAAATCAAAATATATTTCAAGTATACTTATTAAAATAAGAACATAATTCTTCGAACGGCGTCTTGAGGACGTCTTTATTATAGACACGATTTTGAACGTATATTGGAGGTACATGTGTTACGTGAACATGTGTAATTAATATATCCGTGTTTCAATTCGTATAATTTTTAATACACGGGTATCGAAAGACACGGTTTGAAAAGCATGTATATCCGTGAATTACAATATACGATTACACATGTATTGAAATGTACGAGTACACGTGTAACATATTCATATTTTATTTCGTGTGATTATTAATGTACGATAAGATAACCGTATAATTAAGTACATTTACGGCGTAAACGCTTATATTAATAAGATATATTTATTGAATTGTTTGCATCGTGTTATAAACAAAAAGAAACGGGCGTGTCAAGTATGCTGCTGCTGAAGATTTTTCGAATTTTTCTCTTTGCAATTTTCTATTTGTTATTATCGATGTAAAAATCTCTTTTTCAATTTCTGTAGCTCTCATTATGCCATCTATTGCATTTCGCGTTGTCTTTATAATATGTTGTTCTACTTTATACACTTGTTCTACTTTATACAAATGTCTTCCATATTTTATGTTAAGTCTAATACGAGTGTGAGAGATTATCCCATATAACACGGTTCTCAAATGAACGTCATAAGGACGTCCTTAAGAAGTCCTGCTTGAAGAACTGTGTTCTGTGGAACTTATTTTAATAAATATACTTGAAATGTATTATTTTGATTTCACTTCTTTTTCATGGCATTTTTGGTTTTTTCATTTTGTTTTTGAACATCTTTGTTTTGATATATTTGCATAAAAACATTGCATTTTAGCTTCGCTTCTTTTTTTGCAATATTTTTTATTCCTTTCACTATGTTTTAGAATATATTTACAAAATATATCTTTTGCCTAAAGATATTGCAAAATATATTTGACGCCTTTTTTTTATATTTTTAATTTTTTTCCAGTGAATCTTAGAACTTACTGCAGGCACGATGAGCGAAATGTTAACATTTATGTACTTTTCACTTGCGTCGAGTACAACTTCACTGGTATTGCTAACAACTTTGTTTTGTGCAATATGCAATATCGATGCTATGTGACAACTAATTCCTATGAATTTTTCGTCCTTACTCTGTGTTGTCTCAAGAAATATTGTAATAAGGATGTTCCAGGTATTATTTTCTTTGCGTATGTCAGTCGTAACGTCATTAATCAATATATCATTTACGGGAATCAATTCAACATCTCTCCTGTAAATATCTTGCGTTATATACTAATAAAAATGTAGTTAGTAAAAAAATATAATAAAATATATTGTAAAATAAACGATTACTTATTACCAAATGCCAATCGAGGGAAAAGCAGGTCCCCAATCCCATGAGAAACTGGCTTGCATCTTACGAATGTGATTTACATGGCATTCTCCATTGTATTCCTTAGGTACACATACTGGTGGTATAACGTAATGATTCTTTTGCTCATTGTATAAGTCTTCGGCTACTTTAACAGCCGAACGAAACATGACTTTCAATACATTCTGTTCTTTCTACATAAATCAAATAAACAAATTGTATTACCAATACGTATATTTTGCATGACTTTCAATCTCTTTGATTACCTCGATAAAATCTGTTACGTCAAAAATATATCTTAAAAACATATTTGAGGTCTCTCCGAGGATGTGATCGTTCAAAGAAACATTGGCAAACGTATCGATTCCATGAAAAACTAACACTATCTTACGAGCTTTTAGAAAATTATCACTCACTGAAAATATAACATGTTTAGATTATTTTTAATTTTAAACTGTTACCTAATATTATGTCTCATATATACACTTATGTAATAATATATATTATTATATAGATTGTGTATATATACACTCATGGCAAATTACCTCTAAAATTTTTTATGTAAGTGACAGATTGATTTCCGACCCAACGATTATTGATATCATTTCTTCCAAGCAAATTGTTCTCTATTATGTTATTCTTATATAAGTCTGTATAAATTCCTCCAGGAACAGTCGCGGTAAAATTGATATCTGTAGAATAGAATAATTGTTGCATCATTTATGTGAACATTTTTAAAAAAAGTTGTCTACTAGATTTGAAGAAAAAAAAAAATATATATATATACAAATAATTTTTGAAAAATTATGTTTTAATATCTTACCATTGTTGCATTTTTCATAGGGCTTCTTATCTGAAAAAACAATTTTTTGTTGCAATCATGATTAATAAATAATTTTGTACATATAAATTGTATTTTGTACATATACATATACATATATACAAAGTATTTTCTGTAACTTGATTATTTAAAATATCTCCGTTTTTGACGATACGAGAAAATACCATATGGGAAAGTAATTCGATTCGAAGGAGCACATATTATTATGATGAGCAAAAAATTTTTCTCAAGATCATACTTTTTATCGGTGTAAAAGCATAAATACATAGCTTTAAAAAAAAATGTATATGCAAAATGAATTTTTTAAATAAGCAAGTATGTATTTTCTTTACATCAATTGATTCATCTCATTATTCTGTTCATAAAAGTATTAAGGTACAATTATAAAAAAAATTAATAGTTTAGGAATAGAAGGAAAAAACCTGATTTAGGAAGTAAAAAAAAAGATAATTTGTTTAGAATTTTTTGAAAAAGAAATAGTAATTTTTAAAAATCCTATTCTCATTGGGAGCATTCAGCGGATTCAAGAAGACAAAGTTGAGTGATCGCTCGTTGTTATTAGTGTATTCTTTTAGATTATCCAATCAGAATTTTAGATCTAGAAGAATATATCAATAGCAGTGTGAACGCACTTACTCAACTGTTGAGTCTGCTGAAACTCAGCCATTGGCTGTCGCTACTTAACGATACCGACAGTTGTCGTTAAGTAGTAACAAGTAACAACCAATGAAAATCGCGCTTTTTTCCTAGGATAGTCCTTGTTATTGGCTATCGTTAATTATCGACATCGACAACTGTTCTATATGTGTATGTACATACAGAATATGGATCTTGATAGGGGCATAACGCGATGCCATAAAATGTTTTCTTTGATTAGTTAGTTAATAAACTTCTTTCTTCTGATTAGTCAATCAAATACTTCAAAACATTTTTAGTGAGACATTAGTTGCTTTCCATTTATACCGATTCTCAGATAATTCTCATTTGTGACGTCATAACTCAGTTGAATGTGCGTTTTATTTACATTCTGGACAAGTAAGATTCAATTGAGTTTTTACCTACAATCTGCACAAGCTCGAAACTGTACATTACTTTACTGAGTCTCATAAACTCATTTTAAAAGTGAGGTCATGTGATAACTTTTTATCAAATGGTAATGTTCCAAAATTGACTGTCTGTACTGAAAATCTATAGTGCACGTAACGTAACAAACTAGCATTTTCAGCTCTGGCAGTAAATTTGGAACACAAGCCACACAAGGTGCGCAAACCAGCAGTGACATCATTAACGAATAGTGACGTCTGTAACACACACGCACGCAAGCACGCACACACAATCTTTATATTATATATTACGTAAATATACAGTTTCCTATATAAATACGTACTTTTATTGAAAAAGATAAAGATATCTAGTAGATCATATTTACCACAGATATTAATAGTCCCTGTCCATGCACCATTTAGTGTTGTAATTTGACAGTGTATACTAATTAGGCATGAAATCCACAACGTTAAAATAAAAAACTTCATTTCATCAGGTGGCACATATATTGAAGTAAGATAAAACCTGATAACAAAGACTGCAAATATAATGAAAACTTTACGCGTACTCGCTTCTTGCTAAAACGTACCAATTTCCAATAAACGTAGAGATAGAAACAACAGTTTATTTAAACAGTCTTATTACTATCTAATCTATAAATGCCTTCCATGATTATCATCTTACTCTTAGATCAAAGCAAGGTTTATCAATGCATAACCTTGATATGAAGAAAAAGATGATGATGCACATGATAGGGCATATTCTTGTTTAACGTTCAGTAAACAACAAGGATGGAGGGATACCTGGGCTACGTTTGTTCCAAAATTTCCTCTCTGAGAAAGATTTTACTTTATATGCTATAGTATATGTTACGTGTACCATATATTTAGAGTAAAATTTTCCTCGGAGAGGAAGTTTTGGAACATAACCCTGAGTGGCATTTGAGTGGGAATTTGGGAATCTGTATATAGCCCTAGTCAAGTCTCCTACGATCATTGACCTCTGTTACACGGTACGTTTTACGTCGAAGTTATAACATTGATGTTATGAAACTGGCCATTCATAGATATATTCTTCTGAAGAATGGAATGACTGTGATTGGCCAGTTTTTCATAACATCGATGTTATAACTTCGGCGTAAAGCGTGCCATGTAAACGGCACGCTTAGGGCTTACTAGTTACTACTCTATTGTTTGCGGAGTTACGTAGTCAAATGAGAGGAAAATAATTGACTATCGGTCTGTTCGCGTTGCTTGCACTTTTTGCACTTAGCATCTTCATTCTTTCTCTTTTCAACGCTTGAATATTTATCCCGTTTTAAGTGCATTTTGGGGGATTTCAAGCAACGCGACCAAACCTTACGATTTGTTCGATTAGTCTTTTCTTTTTATCTGGAGATACTGGTAGTGTCTCGGCGCTAAGCTACGCGCAGCGCCACTACCGTGGCTACTTTTAAAATACACTTTGAATGGCTGATTCTTTTATATTTCATGCATTATGTGTTATGAAAAAGGCTTGTCCGACTTTTATACAAGACTGTTCCTGCTTTTACTCCATATTTTGGAACGCACCCTAGGGTATCTCGCTTATAGAGAATCATAAATCTTGACTCATTTGAGATAAATTTGTGTGTTATTGTCATAAATTTTCTGCTTTAAATATCTTTGTAGTTAATGCTTAAATTTATAATTGAATGAGCTGAGTCCGAAATAAGAATCTTGATTGTGTGTATACCATATACTAGTATTTCCTAAGCAGTACAAAATATATTTAAACATTCAGAAGTTCTTCAAATAAGATAGATATTCCATCATTCAAAATTCATAATAATATTCAATCGGTATTTCCTTTGTAATTTGATATTTTATCTAGAGAGTTCGTTCATTAACTGTGCCATTATATCTTCCAGTGTGGTGATATTCTTTTTTAATTGATCCATCTACAAAATATTATTATTAAACATAACTAAATAAATTGACACCCAAATATAATTTGAAGTATATACAATTACAATATAATTTAAAGTATACGCAAAACTTACATATTCTTTTGTCTTGTACTTTTTGTATAAATCGTATAATTCCTCCACTGTCCATTCTTTTTCGTCTTGCTTATTTAATTTAACGAATGGACAGCTTGACTGATGTTTCTCATGTTCACTCCTGTAAGTTTTCAATTTATACATTTTGCTAACAAAAATGATGGGTAAATGTAGAGAATTAAAAGACAAAAGAAAGGCAAAAAGAAACAAATAATATAATACATGTAATATAAATAATAAAGTTAATGATTCATACGTCATTAACTTAATATATTATTCTTACGGGTACTGTTACGGAATGTATGCGGCAGCTGGCAGCCCTAAAGATGCCTGTGCACACTTTCCATAATAGTAATCGTAAAAATTAGCCAATCACAATCAAGAATTTTCAAGAACTTACAGCTTTGATTGGCTAATTCTTACGGTACAAGTTGCACGAATGTTGAGTTTAAATTTCCCTCTATTACAATGCGACATGTATGTACCTAAAACGCATGTATTTGTCAGCGTAGAACATGAAAATGTGATTGCAACATATGCTTGGTCCAGAACTTGTGCTGGTAGTTCGCTGGTTTCAGCTTTCTGTACTGCTTACTACCAGCGCAAGTTTTGATTGGTGCTTTTCTGCTTTTCTGTCAAGGTTTAAATGGTCTAAACCAGGGTTGGGCAATTTAGAGCTGCGAATAGTTTCTTATGTATAACATACAGTATTATACGTTATAAAACACATGTATAAAATACGTTATGTTTAATACATGCTCAACCTTGATCTAAACCCATCCTTAGGCGGTACAACAGATATCTTAATCTCTAGTTTCAAAATTCAACACTTAATTACTTGTTTTGCGAGGCAGATCGCTGAGTTTTTCTGCCGGATTCTTGTAAGTAAAAACGTGTCGAATGAGTACATTTTTATTAAGATTTGAGGTAAGGAGAGTATTCTCTCTCTTTAAAAATAAGCACTATCAAATATAATAATTAATACTCTTAGAGTTCAAACAATGAATCATAATTACAGGCAAGTGAAAATAAATAACTAATAAATGTATGTACAAATTAGTTACTTGACGTACCATGGATCATCGTCCGATTCCCAACCATCGAGTTGCTTGCTACAAATGAAACATTCAACCAAGTCTGGCTCATTGCTGTCCCCAACAACATAAAATCCAGCGGCGGCCATGCGCTCGGCATTGCATTTGTTGGATTCGTTGAAGGGCCAACTGCCGTACGTTGTGCTTCTATTTTTTTTCCAGAAGTAGGAAGTAGCTTCTCTGTAAACGAGATGGGAAATAAAACAATAACCTAGCTTGCAATCTCGTTTCGAAAACCTAAGAACGTGTACCATCTGCAAATCTTTAGTGTGCAACGTTTGATCATTTCGATATTTTGTCAATTAATACTTACGGTAACTCCACTATCATCTCGTTTTCTAACATAAATTTCTCAAACAATGCGATAACGAACAATCCGAATGCTAATTGTAGTCTGACAATTCTGACCGTTTAAAATGCAACAGACTGTGTTCCAAGTTCCAAGATATACTGCCAGCGCTGAAAATCTACAGTCTACGTCACATATACTATACATTTTCAGCACTGACAGTAATGGCATTTTTCATTGGCGCACTCAGTGCACTTTAAAGCCGTTGTACAAAAATCGACGTAAAGATATACGTTTAATAAAAATATATAAACGCGAATTAAACCGTGAAATATTCGATACATTTTATTGTGTTATTTGATAAAATAAATTTTGGGCATTTTATCAATTGAGATATCTCACTTTTATATTTAGATTAGAATAGTGTAAAACAACTTTAATGTGCATTGAGTGCGCACTAGTTTTGCCAATGAAAAACGCTATAAATTTTGGAATACAATTGGTCGATGTCAAGACATAACACATAAAGGCTGCGTTCGGGGAGCGCGCTATCAACGCTATTGTGTCATACTATCCTTGTTTCACATTTAATGGACGATGAAGATAGAATGACACAAATAGTGCTAATAGGGTCTCTCCGAACTCACCCATAATGTTTGATTCTGCAAAATATTACGACCATGATATAAGCCAAATAGACAATTTTATTCGATAAACTTATTTCTATTTCCAATGCGTTAAAAATTATATAAGCTAACATAATAAGGAGAAACATAAAATAAAATTATATATTATATAAATGTGTAATTGTATAATATTAATAATACAAATATATATATAAATTATCTAATATATTATTTAATAATATATCATAATTATGATAAATTTTAAACATTACATAATTTTTTATAACTAATATATTTATATTTTTAGACCGTATATGTGAGAAACACAATCAATACAAGAAATTTAAATGCCTATTACGGTCGGAGCTGGATCTTCGTTGCTTTAAAATAATTCAATCTTGAATTACTAATATATACTATATATATACTTGCATATATACCATATTGTAAATGATTTTTTATACAAAATTTAACAGGACTGTTCTGAATAGATTTTTCATTTCCAGGACTTTCTTGCAGCAACATGTAGAGATCTCTAGAAGATGGTTACTCTGATTTAAAGCCTTCCTATACTTATTTTCCTGTCTCATAATCTTAGCATATATTATGTTTATAAATTATGTATTAATATAACAATTTTATTAGCTAGTATTATACTTTATATGAACTATAATATTTTAATTATGTTACCCATATGCATGACAAAATGCGGAACTGGATGGTCAAATATGTACACGCACATTTCTTTGTCATAAAGCCGCTAAACGTTGGGCGCGGTAAAACATAAAGGATTTTCGCGCCTGTAATCCTGGCGGCGAGTACCGTGCTAATGATGATACTTGTCGCTGTCAGGGCGATCCATCCATGTCTTTGAGTTATGAAACGTTATTTACTCTGACATATGTAACATATATTTTATTCAACAATACTCCTAAATGCTCCTTAAGTCACAGATATGCAGTCTTTTTATACCTTTCTAAATATCTGTATACAATCATTTACTTTCTTGATACAAAATATCATGCGTGACAGCATCAGTCTATATGATGTAATAAATATGCATTAATATATTTAGTTATCAGATGATGACAGTAATTATCTATAACTGATAAAGTATTACGAATTTTCTCGATAACATAATTCAAGAGGTAACAAAACATTTCAGAAGGCGACATAAACAATCGTAAAAAGGTAAAAACTTAATATTTTTATTTATTGTTTGTTTTTTTGCTGCTTGATCGAAATGTCCTAAATACAGTTTTTACAAGACGTTGCTCTAATAAGGGACATATATCCTTGTGAGTCTTGCTCAAAAGATCCATGGAACATTCCATGGTATCCATACTGATGCTACCCATCACAAACATTTCGGAAATTTGGCCATGCTGTGGAAGAGCAGCTTGTACAATAATTCCATGATCATTTGTCGTATCTGATGCAGCTTTCGTGGAACAAAAACTTTCTTCTATATCTGTTGGATCTACTAAATATGTCCCATTGCATATACCCTATTGAGAGCAGTATATAATTTGTCATCATACATTGTCGTTGCTTGGTTAAAATTCTCAGTTGTTTACTTACAATAGTGGATGCAGTGACTAAACCAAACATTGGTACTCCAGCATTTGCCAAAGCTAAACTAGCTGCCATTATCGCTGCAGCCAACGCAGATCCTCCATTGTCGAGAACTGTTGCATAGACATCGACTTGGAAATTAGGGAACTCTTGCTAAAATTAAAACATATAAAGGCAACAAGTGATAAATAAGATTTTTACATATTTTTAAAACTGTTTAAACTATTGGTTTCACAGTGTTTCTTTATACATTGAATCAAGAAAATTTCCAATGAAAAAAAAAAGATGGAAAGTTATGTACCAGACACACCGCTGGTTCTAAAGCTCTTTGTAATATCAAGCTATACTCCTTTTCCTCTGCATCCTGCTGATGCAATTTCCGTTTGCGATGAGAGAAGGGTGCAAATTTAAATTCACAAAATAGTTCCCCTTGCATGCAGAAGCCAGTTTTGTTTGGTATCTCTCTAGGATCGAATACTGAGCAGATGACCTTGGTATCACCCATCTCGATGTATGCAGAACCTTTTGCCTGACTAACAATGCCTGTTTTCAAAACTATACAAAAAAAGTTATTTCTTCTAAGATATACTAAAAAAAAATCTAATTCTTAATGGCAACCACAACAAAACACTTGATTATAATTTAACTGACAGAATTGATTAATATTTGCAACCAATTCATTGCTAACTTAATCGTTGTTTCTGTTCAGCAAAAAAAAATTAATAACTTTATCCACACTGATAAAATACTACAAAATATTTCTTGATAAGCAATTGTTAAGTTATTCAGCCATCAAAGTCAACTTAATTGTACTGATTGTGAGAACATGTGACACAACCTCAACATCCTTACATATATTTCTAAGTTCGTTGTCCGAGCGATCGTCATGCCTTTTCGGAACATTGCGTTGTATCCCATTGTTGTCTTTCGTTTCGGAGTAAATATAAATTTCATACGATGTAGACGCATCTGGCCCGTTAATACGTTTCTGGTCAACCGGCATTCTCTTTCTTCGTTCTCGTTTGTTTTAAAAAATTGTCTTCAGAGTCAGTGTCGCCAATGTAAGAAATTTAAGGTAAAATTTCATGCAGCGAAGCTCCACTGGCGAAGACCCCCCACTCCGTCGATTCGTGCGAAAATGCGTAGCTAGCGAAGCTTCGCTCAAAGTTCAACATTGTCCAACAATGAGCGAAGTATAGCCGACTCGGGCTGTGGCTCACTTGATTGGCCAAATATTTCCAAGTACTTTTTGATTGGTCAATTTTTGGAATTGTTTGTTCAATGCTTCTTCATTCACGGCATATAGCGTATTCGATTACTGACTCGACCCGACTCCGAGTCAACAGTCTGTTCTTTTTAGCTGCATTTCTTACACGTAATTTAGCTCTTCTTTTGCAGCTAAACAGAACAGACTATTGACTCGGAGTCGGGTCGAGTCAGTAAATCGAATATGCTAATAGCGGGAGCAACTTCGCCAGCGAAACTTCACTCGATGAAAAGATAAGAGGGCTTAGCGAAGCGTTGAACGCTGGCAGCCAATCAAGATTTTCACCACGGCGCTGTCCTCTCCGAAGAGAGAGAGAGAGAGAGTCGCAGCGGTCCCTTTTCGTCTTGCATCGCGATTTGATCGTCTCTATGTATACGCGATATGCTGGATTCACCCTGCATCCAATTTGCGTCGTACAACGCTCTGCAATCAATCAGAAAACAGGATTCCGATGATACGAGCAAAATCCATCAGAATCCTGTTTTTTGATTGGTTGCAGAGCGTCATACGACGCAAATCGGATGCAGGGTGAATCCAGCAATAATCTCGACTTGTTAATAAGACTATAATTAGTTCTCATATTTATAAGAGAAGCATAAGGAATAAAGTCAGTGATCGGAATTAAGGACTGTTTATTCCCGACTTCCTCTTTTCTCACCGCTGGACCAAATCCTGACAGTCAATCAATATATTCGTTAACAACAGTTAATGAATCTTACACCAACTCTCGCTTAATTCCACTTAATTCCATTTAATTCGCTAATGCGCGAGCAGCGGGGTCTACAAGTCTACAATGGCTGCTGCGTTCAGCAAACTCGACAACAGTTGAGTGAGAGCTCACTGTTATTGGTGTATTCCTATAAATCTAAAATTCTGATTGGATGAGCTTAAAGAATACACCAATAACAGTGAGTGCTCACTCAACTATTGAGGTTAGCTGAATGCGCCCAATGGCGTTCGGAAACGTCACGGGTCACGGTCACTCGAATTCATAAGTCCGGATTTACAATAGGCGGATTTTAAAGGCCCTGCTCCCTACTTTCCTGTGGAGGAAATATTAGGAATAGAAATAAATATTGAGATTTCAACCTATCAGAAACCGTGTATTCCGGTGTACTAGATTCCGATGGGTTGAAATCTTAATATTTATTCCTGTCCAATATTTGTCCTATTGTGGCCTGATTGTGCGCAGGCCCCTCCTCCTCCTTTCTTTTTTTCCGGCCAGGAGCCCCTCCTCTACGCTACTATTGCTACTAGTGCTACTAGTGCTAGCTACTACGCGGTCAGCGGTTTCAGGCGGTTGCGTGGGTTGGCGATTTTCGCTGCGTCGCTGCCATCTTTGTCGTCTCTCTCTTCTCATGTATTCCCGTCCCGCGCTGTCCCGTTACATGTTACATTCGGTTATAAGTTACAACATCTCGTGTTTCTTGTACATACGTTTGGCGGTTACGAGTTACGGCGTGTCTCGCTGAGATTTCGAGAGTTCGCATTTTCTGCTATCTGCGTGCACTTTCGCGATCGTATTCAAGTCACGTGTAAGCTTTATAATGAGTACCGACAGTATTGAAAAGCTGTATAGGAACTTTGGCATTCTCGCTGACGCCAAAGATAAACTGGTACAAGTATGTATAATTTCTTGGTTAAATCGAGTACCGGCCACGTTCAGTCAAAAA